TTTGGAATTTGTCAGTGCTAAAGGTTATAATTGACAATCGAGCCTGTTAGCAGTAAAACCCAGCAATACGTTTAGCCAGAAACTGTGTATATTTGTTTTAAGTGATGCAAAATTTATGGTGTTGTCATTATTGCTAGCTAATTTATATGGCTCAAACATCAACCAGTGATGAGGCTTCCATTCAATAACGTTTGATATCAAAGGTTGCGTCGTTGAGTTCGTAAACCTTCTTATTGATACCAGAAATGTGGGCAATATTAGGCGGGCCATTCATATTGGATTTCGTGAATATATTGCTCGCTTGTTCATACTTAATTATTGAGGAAACGTGCGAGGAGTAGACACAATTTGTGGACGCAACGTCCTTTGGATTGAGCTGGTACAACTTTATGGGGGAACCCGTTTTTTTTTAAATAGTTGCACATTGAACCTATCTTGTCCGGACCTTACACGAATGTTTTCTCGAAAATTCCGATGGCTTATCTTGCTTGAGACTTCCGCCACGACCGGCTTACAGACATGTATATTACAAAGCAGTGCGACGTATCGGCAATTATGTATTTTGTGGTTGAGGAAAAAGTCATTCATTCAAGAATGTTATAAACAGTCTACGTTTATTAACTGATCACACCTGGTTCCACCGGGGGGACATCTTTATTAATCAAAATGTGAAGAGCTTATTGGTTCGACCCCTGTGTTGTCCGTCTGGTGACTAGTAGCTACATTCAGGCTAACGAATGAGGTTGTCTTGAGAATATTTCTACCAATAGTTAACTGATTGATCAATTTTGCATGATGGTGCTGGCTTCCTTCAAAAAGCCTACTTGACTAAAATTGTTGATCATTGTATTTGCTTCCTCCTTTGGGTTCATGAGCTGGTTGCGGAACACTTCACTTGATCAAGCTGATGCCGACAGCAGTTTGTCATCCTTAGAATCGATGCATATGCAGAGGCATTTGCTCAAGTCAATCATTGGTATGAGATTATGACCGTCGACCATAATCATTCGCGTGACCCTCTTTTGGATGTTCCCGATACTAACGTGTCCGATGTTTGCTGCTTTGTCTCCAACACCGTTTACAATTTCGCATGGGTTTGGTATTTTCAAGCTTCCAACACCGTTTTCAATTTCGCATAGGTTTGGTATTTTCAAGCTAGCTTTCGCTATGTAATTTTTGCTTGGTGAAATTTCATTCCGTTGGCTGATGCGGCAAGTACGTGCGTCAATACCCAACCTCATGTTGATTAAATCGAACAACTTTAGATATCCTGGACAGCTGGAGGTGGCTGCTGGACTTTCTTTGCAGAGCATTTGATCATCCAAAGGGAATTTAGCCTGGGAGAGGGAACAACATTTCACGCAGTACACAAACAAAACAGGGCATTTTATAATAAACATTTATCTTGGAAACGGAGCCTTTAAGACTACAGATTGCAATTAAGTTGCTCCGCGATAAATGGTAAACAGGATTGCGTTGGGACTAATCAAATAGCTGCACAAACTGTGCTGTAGTGTAAAGACAGACTGGAGGAATTTGAATAGTTTGGGATAAGCTACACAATCGCATGATTTATTTGTTTTGTACGAGGGTCATTAAGAAGACAGGAATGTCACAGAATGTTCATTTGATAACAAATGGACAGGTCAACCGAATGGGGTCGCTGACACTCCATGGAAGGCGATTATTTAGTACATCAGTCGTGTATGTAACATTCCAGAAAAAAACTCTGTTGACGCGAACAATTTGCGCTGAGAAGAAAAACCTTCATCACTTATAATTTTGTAAGTTAAAGAACCACATGTCCACATACTCAGACGATTACTCAGTGAAAACATTTCGGAGAAATTAGTAGTACGGGCAAGGCTAACGGTGTGGCTCAATACGTGCGTACTCAACTCAACGTGCTGACGTGTCCAATTCCGTAGAATCACTTTCAGGATCATTTCTCACATAAACGTTCTTCAACTGATACAACAATAGAATTACTTAGTGCTAGGAGATATACATAATGTTTTGTTCTTCAGGCTTACTGTGAACGAAAATTATACAACTGATTAGCAGGGCATTATATATTTCAACTTTTAAGTCAGGGTGAGACTCATGAATAGTTCCATATTTTTTGTTTCTCGCATCGATTTACAACATAATTGGTCTACTACGCATACGCTTTGAAGAAACCTATCCCTGCTGTTTCGAAAAAAATCCGCAGAAATTTATTCCCAAATATTTGTATTCCCAGACGACTGCAACGTGAGGCTGGGTGATCAAATGCTCCTGCCTTCTGGTGTACACATGTCTGGGAACCAAATTATATCCTGGACACAGAAGATGACACGTGTTTGAAACAATTTGGAAGGCAAGCGGAGCACAGCTTGAGCCCACTTGTTCTACTCTGTGGAGCGTAGCCTGCTGGTACAAAAGAAACCTTTATCCTAACACAAAAACCTTACGCCAATGCGCTGAAGTGAAGAAATATCAAGGAAGTTTCAACGAAAATTGATTATTCATTCGTTGATTCATTTGTCAGCTTGCAAATGCCATAAGCAAGCGGATTTGAGTGGGATCCAACAAAATACCGTTTTTCCAGCCCTGTGTCTTTGGGTGAAGTGGAACCTGCAATTCGCCGATTTGGCCTGTTTCACAGTGTACCAAAACGAAATCCGATGTTTTCATGAAGGAAACTACACGACAGCCCGCTTCTTCGGGCTCATCAGTTAGGCGCAGTCCACGAGTTTCCAGCAATCTTATGTTCCAATTTAAACCAAATTGGAATTTTTTCGAGAAATATCTGTTTGCAGATCAATTGGGTTTTCACTAGAGGCCCCACTCAATATCCCGTTTATAATATTCCACAGGTGAATGTGCTGATCACAGGCCGCTTCAGGTTTCAGGTGGTGCGACATTCGAGGAGTCGCGGTATGGTTTCCTGAAGGAAATTAGTCCCAAGTTTGTCAATGTGTCACAATATTACCACAGATTATCAGTCCTAGATTCGTATTTTGTCAAGATATTTGATCTCTTTAGCGCTAAATGCCTACTTCAACAAATATTTTGCGCTCTTCGAGGCATGAAAATTTGCCGTCGGATCATTTGCTTAACCGTCACACCTTGAGTTGCCATGTCGAAACAAGTTTTATTGCCCCCGTCTGTTTGCAGTGCAAATGTTGTATAAAATGCAACTGGTTTGTACACGTTTTCGAATATGCACATCCATCTTCACTGTTCTGCACTGAGTTGTTTAGGTAAAATTCTTCGAAATGCCCTGTCACTCAACAGACTCCCGACAGCTTGAAGGTTCGAATTTACTAGGTCCCTGCAGTAGCTCACAATTTCAGGATAACTTCCTGGAACAGTCATTTCCTAAAAGGTTAGTAGTCATCCACTTGCAGTTACAAGACCAGTGCGCGCAGTACCCGGATATCGTGAATTGGGAATTTAATTCACTTGTGAGCAGGAGCGTAAATTGCGGCTTTCATGCCGAAGAATCATATTTATTTATCTTTGAAGTTCCACCGTCATGCTGGCCATTTCAAGCAGTGCCGTATTTTAGACAGTTCACAAACAAAACCAGCCAGGTGTCGGTTCCGCGGTCACAGCTTACAGAATTTGCCGAATAAACAGCAACCAACTCAATCGTTACTTGTGCACATGTGACACGGCAAATCCAATACCAACATGGTCAGCATTATGAATAAGCAATAAAATTTTCAAGCTGAAGGTCAACAGTCGCAGATAAATGTGACAGGTTGTGCTCGGTAGGTCTCGCTGTTCCCCGTTTGACTTTATGCTGTTATGCATTTGCCTCTAGCAGCCAGATGAAAGAATGCCAATAAGTCAGCACATGTGAAAATCGATAAAGTTCTACAGGAACAAAAGGGTACATGATGCACTCAATTGGGTACAAGAAACCCGGAAGCGGGATAGGGGTTCGGGAAACACAGTGATTCTAATCAATAATTCTTGTTCGACATAAATTTCCAGAATGAAATTTGGTGATATAATATATTTTGTAATGCATGTCAGAAACAATGTTACGCATGAAATACTACTGCTGAGACCGTTCGACTGTGTGATGTGTTACTGAGTGGCGCAGGACATGAAATTTTTGGTTTGTCGGAGGTTAAGTTGGATGAATTATTGGGCTATTTTGATGAATGTGTTGCCTCTGGATGCTTAAGCCGAAATCGGGAAACCGATTTCGGAATCCCAAAGGCGGAAATTCGAAGAAGCTGCTACCCAGTCATTTAACAAGCAGCGTTCCAATTCATTGAGCACCGATCGGTAAAACATTTAAAGTGGTTTCACCGGTCTAAATTGGAAGATCAAATAGGTATTTATCCGTCACCCGGTACTAACACTCCACTGCCATTTCTACGCACGATATACAATCCTTCAAGTGAAAATGTGTCCCTATTTCTTGGGCACAATCCGTTTGATAAAATGTCCCTATTGGGCACAATCCGTTTGATAAAATGAGCCCAAACTATCTTTACTTCGTTCAGGCGCTCTTGTCTACCATCCACACCCTGTCTGTCAAGGTCATACAAAATCTACCCAAAGTAATGGAAAACCTGCATTCTGGCTTTATGCATTTCACAAATGCATGTAAGTATTCATTATTATCTTTTTGTTTACATGTTTACTTTATACAAATCAAATAACATATCATCCACAAAGGAGAAAAACAGTAGAGGAAAGGAGAACCTGTATATAAATTAGGAAATACATCAATGCGTGGCACGAGAACACATTAGGTGATCGGTTGCGTTAATGTTAGTCCTGGCGACTTGTGAAGACTGATCACTGTGGTCCTGCATTCCACACATGCAAACTCTCGCCGAACACAACTGTTGTTTAAAAGTTTACAATCACGTGGTACAAACAATATCCCAGTGAGACGCTTATTGTGCAAAGCATGTTTGTAATCAGTCTGAAATATAACACAATTTTCAATGATTCCGAAGAACACTGAGAGTAGTAAGCGGAACCAGGTTTAGCTCAGTTCGAAGTCACAGAAGTCTAGGTCCGTTTATTGAGAAAGAATATCGCTACAGCATCTCGAATATTTGTGTCATAGCATGGACAATCTAAGAGTATATGAGCTTCGTTCACGTGGGGCTGAAGCTGTTCGGTTATATGTTCGAGAATACCACCTGTTTCAGAATAAAATCGGTGAAATTTGCCGGCTGCAAACGAACCATCAGTGGTTGTCAACTAACAGTGGTGTTTGCCACAAAACTGTCGGCAAGATAGAATAAACTTCAAAATTCTTATCACCAAGTTTGATGCATACGAGTTCATTGTGAGTGCGCGAAAGTAATATTCCCACTGTTGATACACACATTTGGCTTTCAGTCCCACCCGGAGGAAATGGAAAAATAATTGGTAACGTCACGTCTGAATGCACACGTGACTAATTTTAATGAAAATGCATTAAGTATTATACCGATCTTGGGTCCCGTTTCTCACACACGAAAATTCAATAACAGATAATGCTGCAATAGTTTGATTTGTGGTTTTATGGGCTATTTGCCGCAGACATTTTGGTGAGCGTCGATTCGCTCGATTCGGCATATTAACATGACAGCTCTAGTGAATGGGTTTGCTTCAGAGAAAGTTCTGTGGGGAATAAAGCACCTCGTTGTCGAACGAAAAACTGCATGCCCCGAAAAGAACCAGTTATTGCAGAAATTTATATTATCGGGGAGTAATCTCGTTCTTCTCTCTTGCTGTCTCCAGGATGTGAGTGCGTATGGTTTTATCTGCAGCTTGTCATCCGCAATTGACATCTCGCTTACGGATTGCTCAACCAGATATGATGATCCAATGAGCCTTGATTTCCAAAACATGATTCCTTATGCGTCACATATGCGTGCTGTAGTCAATAAAGTGTATGAAACTGCAGTACCACACTGTCATTTATAACTGCAACGATGGTGAACTAATCCAGAATATGTAGTCTGCTGGACGGATTCAGCAGCAGCTGAGACGAAGACAAGCGCAGATTGTGTGGGGATAACTCTACCTGAAAGGCTGATCGTGAGATTCACTTGGCAATCTCGGTGACGCCAAGGAACAGCTCAAGCCTCTTCTCGCCTATCGGGCGCAACCAGCACTGAACATCACACGAGAATTAGGGAGTCTCAACCGTATAACGTTTCCGTTTGTCGTCGAGCTGTAAAGCGTCCGGCCATGACTAACCACACACACCATGATTATTCACAGTGTCAATAACCTTCCGACTGGGTCAACGTAGGTAGCTTTTCTCCGGAAACGCACTCGTCAAGCTCACTTGCACTAATTCAAACAGGTAACCGGTTTCAAACTGACGATCCAAATTACGTCCGCCATCCAAGATGAACTCCGTGAAAATATTCGATATCAGTGATGCCTTGCCACATTGCCACTGTCCCAATTTGTCCCGTCACTTTCATTACAGCCTGACAGGATTAGTCATTTGAAGTGACTATGTGCGTTGCCCGACATTAGTTGTCCTTCCCACCTGTTAACAAATAATTTTGAACAATGATGAACTGTTACATGGAGTCTAGGAGTTATTTTACCGCCATCCCAAGGAAAATCAAATGGATTAGAATCCACGCTCGTGGTGTTTTCGACAAATACCTGGATGCCAAAGATGCAGTGTTGATAATCTTCGGCTGTATGACCTATTCATGAGCGTCGGCTTTCCTCCAGGCTGCTAATCCTCACACTCGCCTTTATATAGCCGTGCTCGATATGGGGTAAACATATCTGGGATCTCGCCTATCGGGCGCAACCAGCACTGAACATCACACGAGATTTAGGGAGTCTCAACCGTATAACTTTTCTGTTTGTCGTCGAGCTGTAAAGCGTCCGGCCATGATTAACCCATATTGAATGTCAAACTGGTACTTCTAACGGTATCCTTAAATCGAGCACCTCGTTTCAAGTCATCTTATGTTAAATTGCTCCTCAGCCGGTGAATCCTGAAAGAGACTTTCCATGAAAATTGTGGGAAATTTCCTATTTTGAACGGATTGTTGCCAATTGTTGGCCAAGTGCTGGCTTTTCTAAATACAAGACTAGTGACAATTCTGAACACTTGGTGACCACAGTTAATTCTTGACAACTATGATTAGATTGCTCAGCACTCAAACGTATGATCATGGGCCCTCTGCTGAGAAAAATGTTACCTGGCCACACCGGACTATAAGATATGATCTAGGTGGCTAGAGTGTGAGTTTTGGTGTGCATTATCACTTCTTGCGAGCATCTCATAGCTGAATAACAGCAGATTCAAACACCCACTCAGAATTGAGAATACGGGAACGATTTTTGAGTGGCATACCCGTGAAAGAATGAAGTATGCATACCAACTATCAGTCAGTCAACGTAAATACTGATGAGCGACCTTCGTCAACACGCATCATTCCATATAGATGAAGTGCATCAACTGCGCTCAACTGGTGGTTGGGAGTGTTTCGCGGTTACCTTCCGGCATTCGCAGCAGATTTGACGAATCCGCATAGTACACCAAAGGGAATCAGTGTACAGTCATTTGAGAGGAAAATGTGTGCAAGCGGTATATTGTAGAGACTGCAATAGGGTGTGCTTGATATAGGGACAGGTAGGTGCTGTGTTTCTGGAAATTCGCTTGCTTTGGACGTGTGGACCGGAGCCAATTAGTTTACTACATAAGAGCAAAACGTAAGATTCAGTTGGATTAGTCAGAACCAATTTTCAGACTGACCAACCGGCCACATGCTTGCAGGTTGAAGGGTCTCGCTTTAAATTCCAGTGGTTCCACTATCTACATGGTCGATTTGTTGAGTTTAAATTCATTCGGTTTTACTAAACAATAATTATTTTAAATGGGTACGCAACTTACTGGCATATCTTTTCTGCCCGTCCACGTCCACTGGCAACAGACATACTGAAAGAGAACCAATGTAAGTATTATGTGTAGCTTGCAAGCCAATCCAAATGCGATTGCACAGGTAGATGGAAAAAAACTGCACACGTTATTCATTGATTTCGTTGCAGAAAACGATACTTATGTTCTCCACCTAATGGGAGGCAATTCAAACCTAATATATCCATGTGGCTTCACATCACCTCGCACACTCATTTTACGTCCCAAGACCACCAGAAGTATAGTTGGTCACCGTAGCATGTTTGTCCTTTGAACACCTGCTGACTGTGTGAACAGGTACCCTTGGCGTTTTTAAACAATCACCTCCACCTCATCTAACGTCACATTTGGACGAATGCTTTGTGGCCAATCAGGAACGGCTTTCATTTCATATGAGAGCGTGCAAAATCAGAGAACTAGCCTGCGGAGCAAGCCAGACAGACCACTGTGCGGATTCACTCAGCCAAACGCATCGAACGTATTCTGACACAATACAAACACTTTCAAAGTGGACTCATACACATGTCACCGGAGAGTTATGAAATAACCTAAATTATGTGAGCCACGCAAGAATCTGAGGAGTAATTCATTACTGAACGCATGTCGACACAATTTGTCCAAGGTTCTAGGATTTATGGGGATCAAAACTTTGCCATCGAGTTTGCTTAACCAGAGAATGGTCGAGGTAGGGGAACAAGGTTCAGAATAGCACACACGTCTAATTATATTTTGCAACATGAAAAATATGGAGGTTAATTTACATCGGGCTGACGAACCACCAATTTGAATGATCGCCTGTGAAAATATTTTATCATCAGCCAAACTGATAGAATTACTTCGCCCCGTTACGAAAACCTGTGTTGTAGAACACAGAGGTAAAGCATGCTTAGGTGGGGAATATCGTTCTCGCATCAAAGCTCATAGAAATATGACTCCATTATACTATTTACCAAGATGACCAGATCTATCCGGAGGCAGTCCTACCATCTACGAAAAAATGTGTTTTAACCTCATGTAGCGCGCAGATTAAACGGACCCGCATATCGTCACCACGGATATGACAGAAGATTGCCGATGAGGATGACAACTGCAATCCGACATCACGATCGAAGATTCTCTGTCCCAAGCGAAAATGCGCGACTGCCAAACTTCAATAAAAATTTAGTGTTTATTAAATTGGCTGGGCAGAAATTTACAAAGTTTCGTTCCTGCTATTTGTTTCGGCAAAGCCACAGCCTGGTGAAGCTAAACCAGGCTCAGTTGTTTGGTAGATTCCATCTCCAACACACGGTACAGTAGACGGCCTTTGGCCCAGTAAATCGCTGCGTGGATGAGATAACGCGACGACCCACCTGGAACTGTTGATTCAGCACATTTATACGAATAATTGCACGGGATCATGCTGGGAATTCCAGCGGGCAGACCTGATATTGAGGTTTTAAACTGATCGGTTTTATGTGGGGAGCACCAAAAAGCTTTAGACAAATTTCGTATGCGACAGAAATGTAGCATGTTTTACGAAGATGACTGATGACCTAGACAAACATGGTTGGGGGCGTAGCACACAAAATCATCTCGCAGGTATGGTAAACCTCCAAAAATTGATGGATTAGTCTTGGGGTTGACCTCATAAAATCGACTGGAAGTATGATGCTTTTGGACGGGAGCACGGGATCGATCCAGCTATCTTGGCGAAAGGGATTTCAAATAATATCCTTCCCATGTCCAGGCACACACTAGCAACAGCAGCTTGATCGAGCGTGCCTCCTCGATTATGTCTTGATGGCTGAAACCTCTCCCGCTTGTTGGTGCACTTTGGTTTGCAGTTATCCCACTGAGGACTCATCCCTGTTCTCCCGTGGCTGCAACGTGGCCAGTGGTGCCGCGTGCCAGATGCACAAGCTCCATCACACTGAGGTGACCAGTTGCACCTGCCAACCGTAAAATGAACACGATGATATGGCTGCACACATTCGACGGATTGATCAGACAGCAACTGGTGGCGCAACACTCGGTCGAGTTCCAGCAAAGCGCCATCAAATGCTTGCTGCGTGCTGGCGGAAGACACGGACGGGTCACATCCAGGTCACATCTTGGCCGTCGGGATTCTCCTCATGACTTGCTGACGGGCGCCTGGTCTGTCAAACTCCGCTGCAGAGCGCAGTGCGCGGCGAAAGTTAAATTAGGAAATAAATATGGTGACCCGGAAGCGGTGATGTCAATATTATTGAACGCATTCGCCCAATGGTTGCAGGGGATCATCTGCTATCAGATCCATCCTAGATATGTTTACTCCATATCGAGCACGGATATATAAAGGCGAGTGTGAGGATTAGCAGCCTGGAGGAAAGCCGACGCTCATGAATAGGTCATACGGCCGGAGATTATCAACACTGTCTTTGACACCCAGTTAGTTGTCGAAAACACCACGAGCGTGGATTCTAATCCATTTGATTTTCTTTGGGATGGCGGTAAAATAACTCCTAGATTCCAAGTAAGAGTTCATCATTGTTCAAAATTATTTGTTAACCGGTGGGAAGGGCAACCAATGTCGGGCAACGCACATAGTCACTTCAAATGACTAATCCCGTCAGGCTGTAATGAAAGTGACGGGACAAATTGGGACAGTGGCAATGTGGCAAGGCATCACTGATATCGAATATTTTCACGGAGTTCATCTTGGATGGCGGACGTAATTTGGATCGTCATTTTGAAACCGGTTACCTGTTTGAATTAGCGCAAGTGGGCTTGATGAGTGCGTTTCCGGTGAAAAGCTACCTGCGTTGACCCAATCGGAAGGTTATTCACCCAGTGTGAACATACCGGTGCAGACTGGTATCTCACGTTCAGCTGTTCTGAACTAAGTATGCTGCTACGGAAGAAACTTATGGTACTAAAATCTGTGCACTAAATCGACCTGTCGAACCATAACTTGCTAAATCAATACGCGGTGATTTGAAGTTCTTCCACAACTGTCAAATATAAAAAGGAGCAACATCCCTCCGTTCCGTTCACTGATGGTCAAAATGATATTCCTACAACGTCGCTAAACGGCATTATTCCCCTACCCGATACGGGTCACCAAATTTCAGCGATTTTGTCCCTTAAGTTTAGTACGGAGAGTGGAGTGCGGTCCAGATATTTCGCTCGGTAAATCTGCCTGGATGAAGCAGACACGTGTGTGGGCGAACGTGAAAATTTCGTAATTCATAATGAAGGTGCGTGAATGATATAGACGAGCAACCGAGCCCAATCGCCACGCTAATAACTGCCATGGAGTGGTTCTTTGCGTGAGCTTCATGAATTTCCGACTAGTTTCTTCAAATATGAAATGTCACCGAGTTGGCAAACATCTCTCTCGCTAAGCCACACACGAATGTCTCCAAATATGTTCCAACCAGATCGCGCCCCATGACCTGTTTGTTTGAGCTGCTGAGCACGCAATCTCTCCACTACATTGCACTTTTCCCGCAATAAAATTCACGGGATTACAATACACTATAATGGGACACAGATAGGTATATTCTAAGGTCCCGGTTGGTGAGTTGTCTGCGTACCTGAAAACATTTCATCATTCCTCGGAATATTCTACACCATTGCTCAATTTTGCACATTGGTTCTTGATGCGAGAGTCGAGTAGTTCCAGGACGCGATTAGAAGGAGACAGAATAGGAAGACGTAATATACGCTTTGATCGTCAAATAACTGTATTAAATGAGCTGAAAATAGATTGAGAATCTCGAGTCAATAGGTTATGCAATGGTATGGGTTATAAAGTCATAACATTCTCCCTGCCTGGGAATAAGTGTGTATTTTGCGGAGAAAGAATGTAAAAAATAAAAGGCTGTGATAGTTACATGAAGTCGTTCACGCCTCTCTGTTGCGTAGATTATATGAATGAGTGCGCTGTTGTCGGATAAGAATGTCTCCTGTTCTGTTCGGATGTCATATCGTTGCTTTTGGGGGCCAAGCGGTGCAGGAATACGATATCGTGTTTGCCATCTGGACGAACTATGTTGGCGTACTGTGGATTACAAGAGACGAGTTCCACTTCCTCTAACAGATGGTCATATGTAGAGACTCGATCGTTGTGTTTTAAAAGGATTGGCCCAGGGAGAGTAAGCCAGGTAGGAATGGAGGCACCGTTGGCTGATCGTGTGAATGGCATGAAGCGTTCGTGTGGGGTACAGTTGATAATAGTACATAACAGGTATAACATACAGTAAAGAGAATCAAGGAGGAAAACATCCCAATATGTGACAGGCATGCGGTGTGTATTTTGAGCCCGGCAGATGGTCCCCCAAAGGGTAATATTAAGCAGTATAAACAGAGCATTACATTGTGCACTATATGCACCGGAGTGCCCAACGGCAGCGCCGTCCCCGAGATACCGTCAACATTGAGATCCAATTGAAAGAAAATTGCACTGATTTCGAGAAATACACTCATCTGCAAATCAATTTGGTATTCACGGCAGACTCAATTGAATCTCTCGTTTATGATGTTCTCCAGCTGAATGTGCTGCACAC